AAAGCTGAAATCTTTTACAGCTGTGACAATGGTAGAGCAATACCTGAAAAGTTCATGGTACTGCTGAAAGCATGTCACCTTCACTAGTAGAAAGAAAAGCCAGGTGTGAGACCACCACCTGAAAGATCCCCCCTGCTCTTCAGCTTCTACTGATGGATGCCTTCTTACTGACAAGTTTGCAGTGTATCTTCTGTTCTCTGGCCACAATCATTTTCCCTTAGATAATATGGGCTTCTCAATATGCTCCTGACTTTTACAGTACATTTCCAACATGTGACATACAGTAGAAGCCTGAAAGCAAAGTCCCTGCTTCAAAGAACTTGACACTGACAAACTCTGCTCCCTGGGGAGAGTCTACAATCCAGAGCCTTCCTTTTAGATTTGACAGAGAAATTTTCCTGCATCCAGGCCTTAGACTGCAGGGTTAAAGAGCAAAGAAAGGCAATGGGAATTGTTTATGTACTTATAATCTCTTCTTTTCCCTGATTGTGGCACTGAGATATAGATCACTCGCAAGCAGATTGTAATGCTTTACAGAAACCATACTGGAAACTAAGACATAAAATATTAGAACTTGTCACAAGACTGGCTAGAACAGACAAAAGCCATAGATATACAGGCTTTCAAAGCAACCTGGTAGCAAATTCTCTTTTTATACCCCAAGTCTCTTGTTTATCTCCGTGCTCCTTCTCTACTCAGCCCTTGCCTGCTGCACTGCAGTAATGCAGTCGCTGCCTGTCAGTCAGGGAACAGATAGAGCAGCCTCCTGTCTTATCCCCATCTATTGCCATTTGCACACCTCAGTGCCTCTCTAGCAGCATTTTTAATTGGTTACCTTTTGCAACCTAGTCTCTGTGAAAATATGCGCTGGCCTGGCCACAGCAAGGGATAAAAGCTTTTGGTGGTGGCTTTTTCAACTCAGACTTAGTATAATGTCATGGCCAGGGGACTAAGAGCAATAAAACAAACAAGGTGGCAAGCAGATTGGGGAGATGTCAGGAATAGTGCCAGGTGTCTTCCAGGCTGTGACAGGAAGGCAGGACAAATGATCAGTCCTGCTCCAAGGCAGCCTGCTGGTCTGTGTGCTCACAGGATGAATAACTGACCTTGTACAGAAGTCAGGTCTGCACAACAGACAGTCTGCCAAGCAGTCTGAAAATCAGGAATGCCGTGAATTTTTATGCACCCAGAGATCTGACACTAGGAAAACATCCTAGGATTCAGATAGCAGAAGGGATGAAAGCAGTAGAAAATGATCGGAACTAAATGTTTGCTGTCTACTGCCTGCAAGTGAGCTTATAAACTCATTGCCCGTGGTGCGGAGAGCAGCCTGCTGCTTCAGATGAGGGCTCAGGACACTGCTGCAACCTTCATTTGTGTTGAAACTGCATTCATGCTGCAGCTATCCTCTACTGCTCAAACAGCAGCCTGGATTCATTCAAGTGAATGTTTTTCTGTGTTTTTTTTCCCCAAAAAGATGGGTTTGCCAGTTTGTACTGAGAAGACACGATGGTATAAAATGTGTAAGATTAGAAAACAGGAGGAGATAAGGCAGCTGTGGTCCCCAGCTGCCCATTTTCTTAGGAGAGTAAGATCTTAAGATGACAGAAAATCTCTTTAACATATTTCTGCAGCTCAGCGATGGTGTGTATTTTGCAGCTTCTGCTAAAAGAAAGGTGTTCAGTCAGGCTGCAGCTGGCTGCCTCTGAGGTGGGAGCTTCCTGGAGAGCAACCACCCGCTGTTTCTGCAGGCCTTCACCTGTGGCTGATCAGAGCCTGGATACGTTAGCTCACTATTCACGAGATGTGATGTGAAGGACTGGAGGACAGACATTAGATAAAATGTATTTCTAATTCCTTCAGCATCAAAAGGGCTTTCAGGTTTGAAAACGCGAGTCAGTGGAGTACCTGGTTGGATGGATGCTCCGGACATTTGTCTTGCCCTTGTTAAGATTCTGCGCAGGTCTCACTCAGAGAATGCGCACCAAGAACCTGAGGCACAAGGCCTGTTTCCAGAACAACATTCTTCTGCCTCCCATTGCTGCTGTGGGTAGCACCATGCCTGGCTGGTGCCTCCTGGAAGCAGCATGGTGATATTTCAGTATTTCATCACTCCCTTCTTGTCAGCACATGAAGGTGCCCTGGTGAGACCCCTCATTGCACATTCCATGTGATCAGCGGATCACCGCAACTGATTTTCTGTTGATCTCTGATGAGAAGGTCGTACCTCTGAGACTCCTTTCAGAGCTGTAGTGAGCAACTGCTAAAACACGGTGCTGCTTGGTCAATTACACATCACCACTGCAACATGTATTCCTCCAGAAAGGCAAATGCTGTTTATTCAGGCCATAGCTAACCTTGGATATTTTTTTAATCAGAAAAAAGAGCATAGATCCTCCTGTCAATACTGACTTTAGAAACCAGGTTTCTCATGCTGAAAAAAGACTTTCTCTTTTTCCCATCTTACCATCCCTCCCCCCCTGCTTAGAGTCTCACATGGGATTTACTGTCTGTGGTGCCAGCTTGGGGAAATCGTATGTTTTACACCACCTCAAACAGGCTGCTCATCTATTTTGGGTTTTGCTTTTTAAATACTTTCCAGAAGTACAGTACAAGAGTGTATCTGCCCGGGGAACAGCAGAGGAATGTTTAAAAGCACATTAATATTAAAAAGATTATTTCAGCATCTTATTGCCATCTTTTTCAAAAAGATGAAGAGGCAGGTAGATCTGAAAAAGTAAAATATTTAAATCACCTAAAAATATTTAAAGAACTAATCAAACTGGTGGGTGTACCTCTACAACTGCTGTGCTCCAGACGTTTTCCAAACCTGAGCTTTATATTATAGAGAAAACTCTGTCAGAGAGCAGCTCAAGCTCTGTGTGAGAACAGATTAAAGCAGTACGTTTTCTGTTATAACTGATCATACAAAGACTTCAGAAGCAATCATGAGAACAAAATATCTACAAATATTTTGTAGTTCATGTAACATCATGTAATCCTCATAAAACCTATCTGTTTTATTTCTACATTGGAAAGTGGGAACAATTCAGAATCTTAGCCTTGTTCCATGAAGCAGAGAAGTGTCTGTCTGGGAGAGACCAATAATGCCACTGATTTACCTGATCCCTGAGGTGATTAACCCCAAACCATTAGTCAACAGTACTTTATTCAGGCCTAAGACCTGTGTTTGCAGTGTGCAATATGCTTCAGCACTGTGCTCAATTTTGTAACTTGATGGCAAAGCTTCACAGTGCAGCTTTAGAATAATTCTATCTTCTTACAATTTGCAGAAGTTTTCCAGTATCTGTCATAGGAACTGCCTGCATGGTCGTAACAGTGACGCAGAAAATTAGGATGTAATCTGATGTGATTAGGTAATGGATTAGGTAATGCCCATACAAAAAACAGAGGACTAACTTCATTTTCAAGTCCATGTTGAGGCTTACCAAACAAGGACTGAAACACTCTCAATTACTCATCCAGTATGTCCTGAACAAAACAAATACAAAATTCCAGCAGTCTTGAAGCTTAATTTGATGAAATTACAGATTTACTATGTCTGATTCTTTATGTAGGGGGAAAAGCACAAGCTTTAAGTCATAAATCAGTGCCTTAGGCCAACCATAGAAAATAATATTCTTTAAAAAAAATATTACTGTTCTAAATGTTGGAGGAAGTGATTCAGAAATCATATTCACAAAGTGAAAAGTGGATGGTCATCAGTCCAAACACAAAGTTTTACTGATGTGAAAGATAGAGCTTGGCCTGTATTATTTGGAGGTATGTATATAACCTTTATTAATAAATTTTATGAAAGTGAAACAAGCGATTGGTTCTGGAGTTCTTGAGGTGATTTGTTCCACTGGCATAATGTTTTATCAGTTCAGCCACCTGAGACTGATGGTAGATAGTTTCGCAGCTGTGTACTAGCAGTTAAATTATGAGTATAAAATTGTGGACAATACCATGAATCAAACTTTTGCTGGTGAAAGCTTCAGACAAACAAGAGAAATTTTCTGTTGGCATTCTGTTCCCTAGAGGGACTGTCACTTAAAGAGGATGCCTGCTTTTGTGCCACCTGCAGCTGTGTATTCTCTTCATAAACCCTTCTGCTCAGTTTTATTTGTGACCACAAATTAGTAGCAAATAAAATCATGACAGTCTTCTAAAATGGCTGAACTATGGAATGTGGCTGAGGCTTATATTTTTCCCTTCAACCACCTTGAGAATGAGGGAGAGAGTGTGTGTGAGCAGTCCTGCTTCTGCATTTTTCCTGGCCTTCCCAATATGTATCAAGCTCTCTGAGCTACATACATACATACATACATACATACATACATCTTGCATACAAGCTGTCTACTATGCAATCCAGTTCCCGCATGAACAGTTCCACAGCAGAAGTGACACTGAAAATCAACTGACTACTCATAAAGTACTCTGTCATTCTGACACAAAAAGTAGTTTTTCAAAATATTTCAGTTCTTCTCCAATTGATTTAATATTCATGGAAAGCATTGGCAATAACACCATTAAGGCCTCTGAAATACTAGCAAAATGCTGCCTAGAATATCAGGTTTTGTGTCCATGCTTTTGTCTCCACGCTGTGTGGTTATTTTGCCTGAGTAAATCTCAGAATGATCTAAATCACCTAACTCATCCAAACAACTGCAGCCAAAGGGACTTCAGAACTGTAATCTAACCTTAAATCTGCATGCAGAAACCACTTAAAATCTTTGCTGTGAGCAAAACAAAAAGCCTTGACTAACTTCTAACCTTACACCTTTGAAATCACTCCATACACTTTAATGGATATTTAAATACCTTCTCTCACTGGAGTTTCCTCCTGAAGTGCTGTCAGATGATAATTAACTGTAGGATAACTGCTGTTTTGCAGACAGGTCGCTTTCTGATTTTATTAAGAAACCATAAATTATGTAGCAGTGAATTTCAACTGGGAAAAAGAAAAAGCTGAGCTAATAACAACAGACATGCTTTACCTTTGGGTCATGTATTCCAGAAAGCTCTTCATAGATCTTCTCTCCAACCATGACAGCAGCTAAGTTGGCTGTGTACGTGGACAAACAAAACAGACAGAAAATAGCCCATAGATTCATTAAAAACCTTCCAGTCCAGCATTTGGGGGGTTTGATGGCAGCTGTTCTTCCAAACAAGATCGCATAGCAGACATTCAGGGCAGAGGAGAAAGAGAAGACTTTGTTTCTGTTCCTTCCCTTGGGGGTCATCCCAAAAGGACTTTTCCACTCGTATAAGGTGAGGAAAACAGCAGTGATGTGGAGCGCAACAAATATCCCCAACCACATAGTCCAGTGAAGTGGCCACATGAAGGCTCCAATCGGAGCTGCCGTGTCTCTGGTCCTCACCAATATCCCCAAACTAGTGGAAAAGAAAGGGCTAGTGAAATCAATCACTTGGCTGCGGGCAGTGTTAATGCTAAATGATGTCACTGCCATGTGAGCTGTCCCAGAAAGAAGGTCTCCTACCAGCCCAGTCCAATGACCATTCTTCCAGGCTCCATATTTTCCATCACCAACAATGTACAAGTCAAAATCAAAGTTCATATCCTCAGCCAATTTCTCCAGCAGATCAATGCAGTAGCCGTAGCAGCATTTCTTCAGCTCAATGGGAACGGTGTCATTTCCTCCTTGAAGAGTTTCAAACAGGTTATCCAGCACTGCTGAATCGTTGGTCAAAGGATCCAGGCACAGCTGCCCTGCTGGGCAAAGACCTTCATCATCTACATCTCTTGTAAAGACAAAAGGGTGCTCAATAAGAGTTACCACTCTGAGGTGCAGCCGAGTGGGGTGCTGCATATGACTTTTATGTCTCTGGGCCTGTTCTGGCCATATCCCATAGTCCATGACAATCTTTCCTTCTTGCCAGCTCCCTAGACGAGTCCACATAGGGTTCCCAACAGGGTCATGCTGCAGGTTCCAGATGAAGAAGTTGTTTTCTGAGCTGATAACAGAGGAGCCCTTCACCTTAATGTGGCCACTGAGACCATCAAAAGTTGTGTTAGCTAAAAACCTGTTGGAGAGAGAGAGCAGAGTAATCAGAAGCAGATATCATAAGCCATACACTGAAACTTACGCAGACGCCATGAATTTATGTTTAAGGGATTAGATTAGAAAATCTGGCTAAACACTAGATATTCATAGCTTTCCTACAGCACAGTGAATAACCTACTTATGATTAGAATACTTGGGAATGCTCTGTCTCCTGCATATTTTAAGTAGTGTAAATGGAAACTATGTAGAAAAGATATTTTATTTACTTACTATAAAAAAATGAGAGAAATAATTTTTTTTTCAATTGCCTTTGCCCTTTGCTTTGTAAGTAAATGAAACATAGGTTAGTTCTCAACTGAACTTAAAGAGATCAGTAGCCAGATTCCCAGACAAAAATATGAATGAAAATGGAAGAATGCAAATGAAGAACTGCCCTTCCAAGAAAAATCTTGTGATCTTAGTAAGATGTAGCATATGTAAGAGAGGCTACTGAAGTGCTGTCAACATGTTTCAAGCACTCTCAAGTGAACCAACCCAGATTCTAAATGCCCATTTGGTACTGGTAGGTCACAACCACTTCAGAATGAGGAAAGGACTCAGCGAAAGAACTTTGCGCTAGAAAAAGATTTTAATTCTTAAAAAAAAAAAAAAAATTATTAAAATACCTGCAAAAGCAATGTTCTGAAAAGTGCAGTTTTGACATAGCCGATCTCATCAAGCATACCAATTTTGCACTGCACATTCGTCTTTGGATGTTTACTATTCCACATCTTCAGAGTAAAAGTTATTTCCTTCGCATTGGGCTGGCAACATTTGCTGTAGTTGTCATCCACCTATGTGTAATACAGCTTCTGGTAACTCATTATTCAATATGCTAAAATGATACAGATAAGGGAGCAGGGAAGTAAGTGGGAACGTGACCAACTGAACTGCTCTCTGTTAATGAGAAAGCTGCTGTGCATTTTGCAGGGACTGCAGAGGCTCTCTCTTACGACTATGAAAGTCTTGGTAGAGTGATTCCATTAAAAACAACAGAGTTATATCGCTGCTAATATGGTATAAGGTAAGTGAAGCACATATTTTTCAGTAAGAGGCATTCAGATGACAGAGTATTTAGCTGTCACAGTAGAATGTAACACGTCATAATAGCTCTGAGAATTAGATGAAAGCAAGTATTGAAAGAGGTATAAAGTGTATAGCTGTCACTGCAGCTTCAATAGACAAGGCATAAACTTTAAGTAGTGTTAATTGTTTATCAATAGCTAGAGGGGAAGAAAAAACTAACCTTAAATAGATTAAAAAAGGATAAACCTGCAGCAAGTGTCTGTGCATGCACACTGCTGACTGCACTGCACCAACGAAATCTGTTAAATTTTTATGTATCTTCAGCAGTAAAAGTTCTGTATATGTGCAGATCATACTAACATTTGCCCTCAGCTAAGAACAAATTTAAGAAACTAAATAATACAGTTTGAGTATAGCTGTATGTGTGAAAGCCTTTTCTGTGATGGCTTCAAACTACTCTCAAGCAGTCTATTGTGCATGAAGTTCGGAGAAAGACCTTAGAATCACAGAATCATTAAGGTTGGAAAAAAACACTGAGATCATCTAGTTCAACCACTAACCCAAAAAATGACACAGTCCAAGATGATGCAGCCTATGCTGTCCAGAACAACAAATCTGTACACGTGTTACCCGAGTCTAAGAACTGTGCCCAGAAATACACAAAAACGTTAATAATATACAGGATTGATGCATGATTGTGGATCACATTCTAGAAGTCCTTTTCCACTTAGTCTAGTGTCAGCTAAATGTAACTGTAACTTCATTAACCACTGGTGTCTGCCATGTGTGACAGGTGCTTTCCTTCCGGGCTGCTTCTTTATTTGGCAGGATCTGTGCATGTTTGCAAATGCAAACATCATGAAGACAACAGCTACAGAGGAAGGCAATCCTGAGCACTAAAGGAAGGTTCACAGATCTATGAACATGTTTGTTTTCTGTCTCTCTTCTCCTCAGCCTTTGTTAAAAAAAAATAAAAATAAAATTAAAAAGTGCGACTTCTTCCTTACAAGCACTGCTGTGTTTATATGCTGAGGTCATCATTATGACAATAACTAAAGGTATAGATGAACCTGTGCACAACATTATGAAAGAAGCAGTGTAGAAAATAGTGTTAACAACTCATCAGTGTTAACAACAATGCCAAAATTGACAGACACAAATTCCTAAAAGGAATAAATTAGCAAGATTCTGATGGATTTGGCCCCAGATTTCCATTGCAGCACAACCTGAATATTAGAAAGCTGCAAACCTGGAGTTTGGAGAGTAGATGAAGCTATGGAATAATGCATTAGATTTACTTTCTACAGGTAGAATGAGAACAGTGAAATTTATGCACTGCGTTCTCTGACTTTCAGTGTAGAAATAAGCATGCCCATGAGAGTGAACCAGGCACTCTGTACCTGTCCTGTAGTTGAATTGTGTTAGAAGCATTTGCCTAAGAGATTTAGTAGCATTTAGACTTTGCTATCGTATCGAGGTAGTAGCTTACTTTTGCAGCTCATTTGCATATTCCATATTTTTGGTAGTGACAGGACATTAATCAAAATAAGTGAGGGGAACCATGTGGGAGATACATTTTAACAACACTTTGTAAAAGTTGTAAGTGGCTCTGGCTCCTAATCTTCTGCATGTGCTGTGTGCAGCAACAGTGAAACTCATGCCACAGTCTTCACAGCAGAACTCAGTCACTTTAAAAAGCAGATCTGAGGGTCTGACCCCATTATTTAGACCAGCAGTCTCTAGTGTGAAACCTCTGAGACTTACAAGTGTCACATATCACACAGACACAATGGAAATATCTGATATATATCTGATACGTATGTATCAATATATATATGATATACTGAGCTGGTCCTCTTCAGAAGGGCTATGGACAGGTTCATGCATAAAGATATGTACAGATTTTCAGAAGGCAAAGGGACAGATCCTCTGTGAATTAATTCCTTGATGTGTCAATGTCTGTAAGCTGATGATCGCACTGACAGACTGTGGTAGCTGTCTCAACATTTTACTAGCATTACTTAGCTTGACCAAGAAGTCCCAAGTGTGCCACTTGCTCTTTTCAGCCTTCTTCCTGCTTTTATTATTGTGCTTTGTTCTAAGAACTGGTAGTTACTATACTTGAGCAAAACCCTCTTTGTAGAATGACTTAATTTAATGCTTTCACTTCCACTCAATTTCAGTGGCTTGGCCACTCTGTATCTGTCTTGGAAAAACTACCAGAAGCAAGAGCCAGAACAGGCAGACAAACAGGAGGCTGGAGAAATTGCCCAAGGCAAATTAAAGTTGTGAGACTAGCTTAGGCTATAAGAAAAGATGAAGCTCTTAAATTTTAGTATCTTATTCTGGCAACAAGGATGCTCCCAGGAGCAACAGGAATAGATCTGGGAATGAGACTTGCTGTAGGAGGAATTAAAGATGGGAGATTCACAACAAGCATGCCTTCCTCCAATTCCATACTCGTATCTATAAAAGCCTGTTTTGCCATGGACTGGACAGTGGCCTTGTTCACAGCTGTACTGCCTTTGGGTGTCACTTGAATGGCTGCAGAGTCAGTGCACAAGCACACTGAAAGCCCTGGACTGGTGTGCCAGCCATGGATGTGCTTTTACTCTGTGTGCTGCAGCTGCAGAAACATGCTCATGTCTCTGCATCTCTCCATCCCCAGCCACTGCAGCTCTAAGACAGTGTATCAAGACAGATGAGCTCTCAGGCAGGACCCCTGTCAGTAAATACTCAGTTACCAAACGGAAGTTTAGTCTCTGCTCTGGTCACAATTAAGCCACCCACTGGTGACTCATAAATCATTGTTGCTGTTAGGAATTAATAGTTGTGCTGCTAACTCAAATACATAAGGACTGGCCATCAGGTGTCTGCATACACTATGCACTGCAGTGATTCAGACCAAGGGTTTATCAAGCGTGTTCTCCTCAACACAGTCCACCAGCAGCTACCTAGGGAAAAGCAGGCCAAGTGTATGACATTTTCTCCTAATGTTTTGACAGTTCTCAACCATTTTGAGTTCCAGGCATTTCCAGAGCCTGCTGTGATTTGTCAGTGTGGTGTTGCTCCCTCTGAATTCTCTTGCAAGCACTTCATTTGGCCTTCCTCTTGAACTCACTTAAAATGCTAGTATTCCTTGAATTTACAAACATACTTTCTGTACTGTACTGTACCACAGTGCAGTGGTATAAAGTGCTGCTTTTGATTTGTTCTGAACCTTGTTGACTTCATCTCCCTTGTTTCTTTAAGGCAAAAAGACAATGAATGATTTATCTGTGTCTACTCCCTTCATTTCACTAGTGACTTTGTACATCTTTACAGATTCCCCAAAAACCATCTCTTTCCCCAGCTGATTCAAGTAATTCCTTCTGAGGACAGATTCCTCCCTACCTTCTTGCCTTCCACTGTATCTTAATCAAGATGAAGGGACAAGATATTTCATAGATGTGACAAATATGACAATCTGATGACAGCAGTCCATGTTCATTATGTAAGTGCTACTAGTTTTTTGAAGAAAACAATGAAGAAATGTTATGGAGGAATACATAGAAGTGTTTTGATGTAGCTTTTGTTTTTCTTTGACCCTTCCTTAATCCTCAAAACATTGTAACACTCAAACATTTGGCTCAAGAACTCCTATCCTAACCCCATCCATTAACATCTGTAGGCTAAAAACCAGGTGTAAGGGGGTAAAAATCTGCAGCAGTCACTAAATGTAGAACAGCTGATGACTTCACACACATAACAAGGACTCCTCTGTTTGTTTTTGAAAGGAATCATGCATCTTTCTCAGATGTTAAAGCCTCAAATATTTGTAAACATTGATCTACAAGTGGTTTTGGGAACAACTGGTCTACAGTTTTAGAAGCTGCAAGAGGAGCTTCCCACTCTACCCTACAGAAGATTTGGTTTCTGGCACTTCTTGTAGCTTTGAGAACTCTCAGCCTGCACAAGTGGTGTCTAAATGGCCAAGGGTTTTTTTGTTTGCTCATTCCTGACCCAAGGAAGCATACTAGCAAGGGCCTGAAAACACACACCTGTTTTTATACTCATTTCTTTGGTAGCACAAATACTCATTTTGCGTTTTGTATTCTCTCACATATCTCAAAACCTGAGAGAATTTGACTTCTCCCACAGATATATAATTACAAGATACTTTCAGTGCTTAGGCTGCAGCTGAGCCTACGCACTCTCTGTACTATCTCTGCCTCTATGGAACAGGATCTTTTTCCACAACTGCCCTCACCTCCCTCTATGGCTAAGTTTAATCTTCATTTTGTCTCCAGTAGATTGAAGCAGGCAGAAATACTGAAACAAATGCATGCATTAGTAAGGGTGAATAGCATTACAGCCATGCTATAAAGATGGGCTGAGAAGGGAAAGAAAACTAAGATGTTATTTGATACCAGAAATGCTAGCTGCAAACAGCAACAACAAACTTACTTCGACAAATACTGTCCTGAGGTTATATTTTTTTCATCTGTGTCCATGCAATTCATTGTACTCGGAATAAGAGCTAGTTCAGGCTGAATCATGGTGGCTGCTGCTACAGCTCTTGCTACCAGCTCCATTGCATCCTGCACATAATGCTCAAAGACAGACTGTGTTGTCTTGCCATGAGCAATGAGACCGAGTGGCAAACCTTCTGTCCTCAGTTCTTCCACGTTCTGTGAATCCCCAATAATCCAGTGAAGTTCTGGAGGCATCACACCAAATCGGGTAGTTATTTCAAAAATTCTTCTTGTTTTCTCCATGTCACATCCAAACATGACCATGGTAGATGTTGTGTCTCTGATGCTCTCCAGGTAAAACTGTAGGTAGTTCAGAAGGTCCTTGGTTGAAGTGAGATTTGCTGTGATGTTTATAATGGACCCCAGGTGGAACTTGGAGCTCTGTTGTGTGAGGAAGAGAAAATCCGTGATGTTCCACTCCTCCTGGCATACCATTAAGCTGAAGTTGTACCAGTTGTTCATTGCAAGGATTGAGAATGTGACATCAGCATCAGAGCTCAACGAGTTTTCTAAACTCATTTGCAGATGGAGGGGATTCTGCAGTTAAAAATACAAAATATTTTAATTAGGAATAAGTTAGAATTAAAGTTAATGCATTTTCTTAATTTTTATGTGAGGAGTGCATGTTCAGTTACGTTGTTCCAAGTAATCAATTGTTGATCTAGGTAATGGTGTGAGAAACTAAGACTTAGATCTACCCAACTTACAGTGAATCAAGGGCTTTCTGGGCTAGAACCTGAGTCAACTTCAATAATCATCAAAGGGTCTGTTTCCAATAACTCAAATTTCTCTAAATCCACTCGTACTTTTGGATTTCTTGGCATTCTCGATCACTGAATTCCATTTTCTTCTAACAGAGCGTATGAGAAAGTAAGACTATTATTTGCATTCAATCATGGCAATAATGCTTAAATTCAATGGAAACTGTCAAGTGCTTTGGTAAAAAGTAAATGAAGATAAAAAAGGAATTTCAGGGTTTTTTGTGTTTTTTTTTTCTCTTTTTTTTTTTTTAGGGGGGGGGGTGGGGGGGGTGGGAGAGTAGTAGTGGACTTTTCCTACACAGACACATGAAGGAAGCTAATGGAACAGATCATCACTGACAACCAGTGCACATCATGTACTGCTAATAAAACCTGAGAAAATTAATTCCTTGGTAAAGGGCTAGGTACTAAATAAGCAAAGGGCTAAGATGTGCACACTCTGTGCTATCTGATTTGGAAAATACTTGACAAATAGGCATTCCATACTTATATTTTTTAAGTCATTGATGATAGAATAGAACGTAATCAGTTACATTTCCCAGCAACACTGCCTTTTGCTGTATCTTTTCCAGGAAAGGAGGGAGGATATGAGGTTAATTCATCTGCTTGGTTTCAGCTCAGAACTTGACAGTCCTCGGTATAGCTTTTCTATGAAGTCGGTTAAGAAGTCAGTTTCAGGATCTGATTTGGCTTGTAAGATCTTTGTTGTGACTTCATGTCAACATTTGCCGTTATTCATGCCCCCTCAAATTATATATTATCCTACACAGGTTCCTGAATTTCATCATCTTTCTATCCACTCCTAAGTCGCTCAGCCCTTCAGGTCTGTTCCTCATGCTCTTACATTTTAGGTAGATAACAAGTAGAATACACGAGAGGGAATCAGACCTTTACTGTGTTTAAAGCCAGTATAAAATGCTGTCCTTTGATTTTAGCAGTATTTTAGTGATCATTACAGGCTCCAGCTTGGATGGATCTTAGAAACAGTATTCTAAATTTGAAATAATCAGAAATGCACTAAAATAAAACCCTGACTTTCCGCTTTGGATATACGAGGTAGAATGCAGCAAATAAAAAAAAAAGCAACCAAACAAAAAAACCCCAAACAAACAAGTGGAAGAGTTAAACACCATTTAAAAGCAGCAAGCTTTAACTGTGTTAATTTGCAGCTACATGAACTCACCATGCATTTTCCTGAGCAAATCATTTAAATTCAGAGTTTAGTTGTGAGAATACTTTAAATGAAGAAGCTCTCAGCTCTTTCGTTACCTCCTGGTTTTGGTACCAGTGTCTTGTTTTTACACAGACTCATAAATAAGCTAATTGAATAGATCAGTGTCCACAATCAATGCACATCATGTACTGCCAATAAAGCGCAAGAGGATTGACTCTTTGATAAAGGACAAGTTACTGAATGCACAAGAAGCTAAGCTGTGCAGACTCTGTGAGCTCTAAGCTAAACATTGCCTATTAATTGAAATACAAGATTAGCACAGAAAAAAAAAAGCTTTGCACATAATACCTGGATTTGGGAAGCTGATTTGAATAAATTAGTGTCTAAAAACTCAATTAAGACAAACTTTTCTGGCTAAAATTATGAGCTCATACAATAAATTAGCTTTAGTTTGTCCCTCAGTTGAAACAGAAGGGCATAGAAAGTTTTCCTTGTGTCCTCTGCCCAAGATCAAGTAAAAGTCTGGCCTCCAAACAACCCTGCAAGCCTAATGACTTAGTTAATTTTCCAGTTTACAAGTAAGTTATTCAATATAAATAGAACATTTTGCACATACAAGAGATAGCGTACAACCTGTACATACTGCATCAGGAAGCTCAAAATTCTCTGGTTCATTTAGAAGAATAGCATCTCAATCATAGCTTCACAGCTATTACAGTGTATATGCAGATAACAAAGAAAAAATCTACTGGACACAGAAAAACCACCCTGTACTGATGAATGATTGAAGTTAGCAAGAATATTTGTATCCATACTTCTGAAAAAAGGCTTCCAGAAAACAAACATGAGCATTTGCGCTCTGTAATTTGTTCCCACACCGGGTTTGGCCCACGACAAGTAGCTCTCCTTGGTGTCCTATGTGTGTCAGTGTGAGTTCCAGTACATTTAGGGGATTATTCTCATTAGACAGTATGGGCAAGTGCATGAGAACTGGTGCTCCACCTTACCCAGCAGGTTCGGACATCTCTAGACCTATATGCGCCCATGCTAAACACAGTGCTAATGCACGGTTGCACACTAAGATTCCCTCCTGTCCACAGCACAGTTCTTCCAAACACTGCATGTATCAAAGCAGTTTTGAAGCAAAAAAGATACAGAACAGGTAAAAATTACATGCTGGGGTCACTGGGGTTCACACTGTACCCACAGGAAACACAGCACTGAACACATATAGAGAAACTTTCCTTTGGGGCTAGAAAACTGGTTTTAATTTTATTCAGCAGTGCAGATGAAGACAAACTGCACTGCACCTGTGGGTAGTCTCAGGTGGAAGATGGACTTCCTACAGTAGTGCAGCCAGAGGTTTGTTTCTGAGCAGTTCTAACAGTGGTCCCTTTTTAATGTGAAAATACTTAGATGTGTCATTGTGGTGCAACAGACTCTTCTTGCATTGAGACACTTCACTTAGGGTCAGGCCTGGACAGAGCTCTGGACACACTGATCTAGCTACAGATGTCCCTGTTCATTGGAGGAGAGTTAAACCTGTTGACATCAAATATGTTTTTAAAGGAGGTTGTTAGCAGGTTTTAGTTGTCATTCTCTATAATCAACAGGTACATGTACTATAGCAATTACCAGCACTGTGATTAACTGCTCATTTCATTGTTAGCATGCTTGAAAGGTAAACTTTAAGCCCTGAAAAAGTGGCATGAAGTGCATGAGGACCAAGTGGTAATTTGAAGGGAACGACTAAAAACGTGCCTTCAGAACCTTTCTGGTACAGTGACATACAGGAAAATCAATTAGAAGGCCTCTGTGTTCTGCTTAATTTTCAGCCCACCATACAAACAATCCTACTAACTTTGGAAATCAACAAGCAACTTTGTTTTACTACCAATTTATGTCTGCTTTGTGCTTAGGATTTAGCTTTGGGACACTTGATGGGTCAGGCTGGTTCATTCACAACACACTCAATCACAGGGTTCATCTAGAGAAACATTGGTCGACCTTACTGTTTTTACATGCAAAAAACCTTTCAAGAAATGATGCAGTGATTTTTGAAGATATTTGGATTTAATACCTTCTTAATTTCATTTTGAAAGGTTTATATGTCATTTATAGACTGCAACTGAGCCTAGCGGGGGCTGAAAAAATTACACAGATAAAGTCACATGTATACATACAGAATTCATCTCTGATGAGCCTTCATATATTTTTGATGATTCATTTTTCTATAAAATAAAAAATTACTGCTTTATAATGAAGAACTTCCAAAAACTGCCTATTCAGTAATTCAATAGCAATTATTGAGGCTGCATAATTTCAGAGCAAAGGCTTTTGACAACTTAAATGATAGTTTAGATATGTATAACTTTCTACTTATCAGGAAATAGAAGATTTATGAGATAATATCAGTGTATCGAACTGTGCCTATCCATCCTTATCAAAACTCTTAGGCAGACACCTTTATTACTTGACTTCGGAAATCAGTAAAGTTTGACTGTTTCAGTTAAACTGCCAATTAATTCTTGTATGGAAAATCAATCGTTTTGTTTCTATTTTACTTTAAGCTGTTATTAAAGGTAGAATGATTTGCATCAATTTTTTTCTGCATTGCACAGAAAATTAGAACTCATTTGAATAATGTTAATTGGAATTTGTTTTTAATGTGTTTGCATTTACAAAGTCTCAACGAGCAAAAGCATTTCCAATGTTTATGAAGACTTAATTTCTTACTGCACATAATTAGCTCATGTTTTATAAACCAGCCAGTATGACTTGATTTCAACTTTTGGGTAACTAACGAACCTAGAATCCTTATTTTCTGATTAATCACTTTTGGATTTTGGATACCGACGGTCTTTCCACTGACATCCAGTGGGCTTCAGACCAAGCCAATCCCAGAACAATGAACTCTATATGATCTGATGTGTTTCAGTTCTCTACACAAAAGGACACAGTAACTACTTATTTGCTTTCTGTACTGCAACCAGAGCAATTTTTCCTTTCATTGCCCGAGATACTTGAGATAGCAGGTCCACTTAACACCCAAAACATGATTTGCATTTCATCAATTACATCATTTTCAAGGCTGTCTCAGTCAACTGTAGACCAATTCTTGGTAAAGGAAAATCTTGAAAATCTTGTGAACATAATGCTTGGAGCTAGACTGACTTGCACCCTGCAGGATCTGACCATTTAACTCTTCAACCAAATTTGTAATGCTAATTACACATGGCCATGGTGACATTTTATCTGACATTATGGTAGATCCATTAGCAGAGTTAAAAGCACTATGCGAATAATTTTTGCTAACTGTAGAAGTAAATAACACATTGAAAATATTATTCCCCATTGATTCTAAGGGGCAAAGGCAGTGTTCATGGCAGTGTTTATGATAAGAAACAAAAGAGAAAACAAGTTACATAATTACACTAGAGAAACCTCTGCTGAACAGAAAAAAAAGCCTTCTGGCTTTCAGTGCAACTGTGGGGACTCACAGCTTTACAAACAGAGTTAAACGGCAGCTGTGTGCAAGCTGATGCTGGAGCTTCAAAAACTGAGAAGCTATTTCTTCCATGGTTGAAACAACAAAGTTTAGG